TTGTTACTCATATTATCATTTGCATATGATTGAGATAGAAGGAACACCCGTTCTCTCGGGAAAACTGCTCCCCTGTTTCAAGAATAAGGACACAGTAAAAAGGTGAATATATTCTCCATTTTCGGTGCTACTTCCTTTTTTCTTGGTTTCGGTTAGTGCTACTAACCTTGCGTTCGGTATTTTGCTCAAAGAGCAGAGCATGCTGAGCGGAGCCGTAATCACGTGACCAGCGAGCGAACAGAGCAGTTGAACGCTGTATAAAAGTGTCAGAAATTTTAATAAACGAACGCGAATGAGGCTGCACCGTGTACACTTTTCAAATAAACGAACGGTAAAGTCAAGCTCGGAGAACTCAGACCAAAATAACGAACGCACGGTAAACCGATGTTCAATTTCTGAATTTCTGATGCAATGATATCTGTTTTCAGTCTAATCTAATACCCTGCACATTTCACGTAGCGAGATTCATAGTCCATTTTCTTTGCCGTGATCCGTCCAATGTTCCGAGGCTTCGCTTAGGTTTTTTGGTAGTTTTGTATTTTTCCGAGTATTAGAGAACCAGTCTAATGCCTCAACCCCCATCCTGGAGGACCGAGACAGTTTTTGTTTCACTGTGGGTATTTTATTTTGCCATATACCCTCCGAATCTGTTGAATTACAGACCCAGCGAGCTTCCCCTAATTCCCATAGGGACGCACCCGATGGAGGTAACTGATAAATCCCCAAACGGGTAGAGTGATTTTTCTGGTTTTTTATGGACGTTGGAGTCAATTTTGGACTTTCCTAGTTTCTGTGACGATACAGAAGTTGGTTTAGTTTAGGTCCTGTGGCTTTTGGAGTATTGTGAAATGGATTTCAATATTCTCCGAGCCTCTGAAAAGCTGTAGAGTCACTTTGGATTAATTCTTCTTACCTCTGAAGCATTGCGGAATGGATTTGAATTCTTCCAATTTCTGAGAAGCTTTGGGGTTGCTTTAGAATGATTTTTTTGACTTTTTGAGGACTATATGGAGTCAGTTTGGACTTTCCTGGCTTCTGAGGCGCTTCTTAATTGCTTTGGTTTAAATCCTGTGGCTTTTGTATTATTGTGGATTGGATTTGAATATTTTCTCGGCTCTTAGAAGCTATAGAGTCGCTTTGGATATTTTTTCTTGTCTTTGAAGTATCTACTGTAGAATGGAGTTCAATCCTATAACTTCTGAGGTGCTATGAAGTCAGTTTATACTTTCCTGGTTTCTGACTTTCTGAGGAGATATATAGTACTTTTAGATTAGGATCTCTGGAGCACTATTTAATAAATTTGAATATTTTCTTTGCCTCTTGAGGATCTTCTTAAAACAAAAGACAAGATAATCTAGGGTCGTGTATTGTCCGTCGATTTTAATCTGATACTCGGACGAAATGTGAGCTGGTGGCTCCCTACATTAGAACAATAATGGCTACCTGACGTCACACCTGTTTTTGCCATATGAAACATCCCCTCGCTCCTCATACGGAAAGTATTAGTTAAAAATCGACGAACAATACTTCAAAAAAGATTAAGATAACGTGTAGTCCCTTTATGTGCAAATAAATCACTCAAAATACAACAAATAATAATTTTATTTCATTTACAATGTTCTGTAATAACCAGAGATAAGTAGTAACACATAGTACCAGTCAATGTTACTCTCTGTAAAATTTTAGTGTTGACAGCTTGGTTTTTTCGGTGAATCTGATACCATATACCTTTCCAATCCGGAGCTCTTCAATGGGTATTGAGGTTTCACTTTCGTGAACTGGAGCTGTTTGTGTTGTTTCCTGTATCCAGGAAGAGGATAGATTGCTGGAGTGACGTCACTCCAGCTGATCCAGACTCCAAACAGTGATCTTTATGTCGAGTAGGTACCCAGAAAAGATCAGGTTCATCAATATTTGGAATATTAAATCCCTGAATTCTGTCAAAAAAGTGAGTATCTTGCAAATGAAATTGAAATTTAATATAAAACGATTGTTGTACAGACACTCCCTTCTAACAGAATCAATTATGAACAGCTATTGCAAATTGAAAAAAAATACAATTAAATAATTAAGAATAATGGTAAAATAATAATAAAATTAAAATAACAAGATTAAATTAAAATGTTCGTTATGATAGAGCAGAATGCTGCTTTCCTGACAGCAGCTCTGGCAGGCAAAAATATGAGCAAAAATAAGGTAAAACAATAGGAAATTAAATCTTTAGATTCTCCCCCAAATAGATAAAATTTTCTTTTCAACTTAAGGTATAGCAGGTAGCAGGTAGCTACTATAGATACTGCAAGATGAACCTGGTGTTGAAATTAATCAAATCCAGAAAATGTCAAAATTCTTGAGATGTTCTAATTAAAACTTTTTTCTGGATTTTTGACCTGTCTGGATTTCTATTAAAAAATTACACCCTTTAGTCGAAATAATAATTGACGGAGTCAAACAGAAAATGGCTATTCAGGCCTCTGCCTGGATTAAATAAAGAGTTGATAGGGATGGAGACAAAAATTTGGTTTTCATCGACTCTATTTAGAGCAAATGGTTCAGTATTCCCACACTAACAATTGATTCTGAAAACCAGAGCAGCAGTACCTATTTAAAGTCCAAAAATCGGAATTGACTTACCTCAGATAAACGTGGCACTACCAATCAGCATTCATGCAAAAATGGAAGCCAACATTTAGATAAAAAAATTAAAATATAATATTTATATTTCAAGAATATCTCGGATAAGATTTATCATATAAATTTTCCGCGGGACAATTAAGCAGAATGATTGCACTGGATTTTTTTTTGTTAGTTTCACTTTGAATTATGTGAACCAAGCGAAAAGTTTTTGAAATTTTTCAAATTACCAGAAAACAGGCCAAAAAATTGATATTTATTAAAAATCCTTGTACCTTTTTAAAAATGTACACATAGAAGTAAAATCGAATTCTGAACCACTTTTCTCTCTACAATTTTTTGATTTCTGGTCATCTAACCCCACTTTTTACATATTCAAGGCGAACTTTTCGAATTTCCCGCCATAACTGTGGTCACATGACATCTGCCAAAGTGCTTTTTTTTCTTGATGGGTATGCTGAATCGATCCCCCGTAACATTCTCTTTGATATCTTAATAATGAAATATTTTCCCATTTGTTGCAAACTTTTTGGCGGTCACTGTATAATAGCACTGAAGAAAAAATTTTGTTGGCAAAATTTTCGACTGGTATAAAAGTTTGTTGCTTGCCAATTAGACTATCCAAAACACGTGACTTTGACAAGCAAAATATGGCCGACAAGAGGCACACAAACATTGATACAAACACAAACTATAACGTCATTATATTATGTCATTAATAATCATAATTCAATATTTATTTTCTATTGTGTGCGTCCCAATTTTTGCCAGTTTCTACCCTATTACGCAATCCTTATCGTTTGGGCAAGGTTGCTCTACCTGCATTTCACTTGAATACGCAGGATCTACCCTTGATGTGAAAATATTTATTTATTTCAAGTCCACCGTACAGTGTTGTGTTTTGATTTGTATTGTTTTTTTTACTTGGAATTTGAAGAAATTTAAGAACGTGCCGATCTCCACGACTTTCACATTTAATGCTACAACACGTTGTAGGCATGTTTTGCGCGTTTTTGAGAACTATTTACTACTATTTACATACACTATTCAAATACACTATTTCTAACATTAATGAAAATAACAGTTTTTAGTATCAGAACGCAAATAATTCACAATGAGCTCTATAACTACATTATTTGATGACACATAAACAAAGGGTTTGTGTGCCTCTTGGCGGCCATTTTAATTCAAGTTTGACAGCATCTTGGATAGTCTAATTTCGCGAATGACATTTTTGATAAAATTTTGGCTCGACCGTTGTACTATTTTCATTAGCGAAATTACCAAAAAGCAACAAACTTGAATAAAACCAAGAGAATAATTTTGCCTACATAATTTTTTCTTGAGTGGTATTCAGCTGGACTATTTCACGAGAAAAACAAGCCAAATTTTCATTTGGAAAATTTATTTCCTTTAGGTGACACAAACTCAATAGTTTTTTACCTTTACTACACAAAATTTTGTCGCTGAAAAACCATCATATTGGTTTTGCCCAGGTAGGAACAGGTAGAAGTTTTGTCAGTAGGAAACTGGCCGTTCCTATGACATTTTGCCAGTGTAAAACACTCTAGTGAAATAGTCAAGTAAAAACTTAACAATGATATGATAATATGAATTGATAGCAAAATATATTGAAAAATCTATAAGGGAGAATCTAAAAATTAGGAGTAAAAATTATTAAAAATAAAAAGGACTCGCCTGCCAGACTTCTGTCGAGGAAAGAGAACGTTTTAGAAACGAAAGCCCACAGGAACATGTTACGTAAATGAAAAATTTATCGTAACAAGCTATAGAGTTGCTTTTTATAAAATTTCCTTGCTTCTGAAGCACTTTGGAATTCTCCTGATTTCTAAAAGAGCTGTGTATAAATTCTTTTGGCTTCTTACCTTTTGAAATCTGGAATTCTCTAACCTCTGATTACCATTCCCCAATTAAAATACGTTATTTCAATAGTATATTATTGATATAAATCGTCGTCATTCCTTCCTTGGGACGGTGTGATAATTTCCCACAATTCAATGAAAGTCCTTAAAATATAAATAACGAGCTTTGCTAAAAGTTCCCTCCCGCGTCGTGCGTTGGCGTATCATTATTTATCATGCCCTTGGAAAAAAAAAAAACCCTTTTATATCAGATTATGTAAGTGACAAATAAAAATGGCCGAGCTTTGTACTTATGAGAGGGGAAAAACTTTCTGCTTTCTAGCCCGAACTAATTAAACTCGAAACAACCCTTTCGAAAAAAAGAAAATAATAATAAAAACGAGACTTTTCTGTATTTCCGTAATTAGCGTTTTATTTCGAGCTAAAAGGAAAAAATTCCTAATGTTGTAATTAAAAACAACGAAAAGCTTTTATGTATTTGCAGACAAATTCTGAAATTAAACGCAACGAAAGTAATTTCCAATCGAAAGTTTCACTCAACGACAGTCAATCACCGGCAAAAACGAAGATTGTGGAGAATTCTGTAGAATCAAATCAGCTTCCATATATCAAAGACAATCATGCAACACCATCTAAGACATACGATTCGGGCAGTGAAGACGATGATGAACTGGATACGATTGAACAAGAAGGCACAACAACTTCCAAAGCAGGACATCAGGTGAGAGAAGAAATTTTAGCTTCCAATTAATAATTATTTCTATAGATTGACAGAGCAAGTGCTGCCAATATTCGACGGACAAAGGAAGAAGCCGCAATCGACAAGGAAGACGAAGACGATTTTGGTTACACGACAAGTAAGTGCAATCTATTCTTAAATTAAATTGTTACTCTACCTCGCGGCAATATATAGTTCATTAACTTCGTTAGTATTTCCAACTATGCCCTAATGGTTTAACCGAAACTAATTAACAAAACAACTGACTAATAGTTGATCGTTACTGAGAAATTGAGTTTTGGTTTGTGGAAAATTCAATTATCCATATGCGGTTACACAATTTATAAAAGTATGACATACATAATGAAAATATTACGTATTTTTTTCCATTATCCGTTCATAAATCGGTAGCTACTTAAACGGCGGGCGTCCGTGCGTTAAATGAAAATAGATTTTCCTGCAATTTTCTCTAAATTTACTGCGGTAGTACTTTACCGCCTTGGCAGCGTTAACGAGACAAGTAGACAGTGATAAATTTGCGAGGGACTTGTATGAATTGTTTCCACGTACGATATTCACCCCTACGGTTTGTTTCGACGATTTATATTTGACTTGAAATGTGTAGATATATTATGAAATATCATACAATATTTCTTTCAAATAATGGCGTCATTTAATAATTACTAAGACTGTCTCTTGTCTGAATTGAATTTTTTTTCTTATAGTGTATAATTTAATTTAGTCATTTTTTGTGCCAATTTAGATTTGTGCCAATTTAGACAGGTAAAGTATGAAATAACACACTAGTGGGTTATGGTTTATAATTCACTCTCTTATAACGTCAAGAAATAAAAATTTATAAATCCTGGTTTAAAGAAGACTCATTCCCAAAAAATACCTGTTAGGTTTTTCAGTTCTTGTATGCCTGCTCGTGTGTTATGATTTCACAGTTGTTAGTTGTTGGATAAAACATTGTATGCTACTCGTGTGTTATGTTTTCTAAGTCACTCGAGAAATTATACCACTCGGCCTCACGGCCTCGTGAAATTTTTCTCGTGTGGCTTTTTTTCAACATAACACACTAGTACCATAAATAACTATTTTTTACTACTAACCTGAGAAATAGTGATTATTCAATCTATTTTTCTAGTAGTACTAGCGGTTAGTCCAAACCATTTGGCAAATTTGTCTAAAAGCATGAAATTTGGCAGAGATGTATTTTAGGCTATTCTAAGAGATTTGACCCGGAGGGCCAGCCCAATTTTTGACTGTGACTCAAAATGGCGCCTTTTTTTCAAAATGGCGGATCACAAATTGGTATTTCTCATTTGTCAACAAATTCTAACGTTCGATATGTCGTTTTCAACTAATTTTGGGTCGTACAGTTCATAAAAAAAATTAGTTTTTCCATTAGGATCAAAATGGCACCTTTTTTTCAAAATGGCGAACCATAAATTGGTAATTATTATTTGTCAACAGATTTTAGTGTTCAAGATGTCTTTTTCGACTAAGTGTGGGTCGTAGAATTCAATAAAGATATTATTTTGTGTTTTCGTCAACATGCCGGCCATTTTTCAAAATGGCGTACCATAAATAATTGATAAATTATTTTTTTCTAAAAGCTCTTATAGCGTTGAATATGTCGGTTTCGACTAATTTTGCGTCGTGAAATTCAATTAAATTAAATTTGTTTTTTGGGTCCACTTCTGGCCATGTCTGATGCATGTAGCAAAATTCGCCCGACTTTCTCCTCCCAATTCTGGCACGATTTCCAGATAGTTCAGACAAAATATTTTTGGAGGCCATAGTACCACCAATATTTGTGACAGTTTTCTAGTTTCCTTCTTCCACTCACTAGACCTTTAGACAAAAGTAAAAATAATTCGCTTTTGTTTTCAGAAAGAGACGCAGACGCAGAATGCACAGAGCTTGGTTTTGAATTTCCGTGCTAGAGTGGGGGGCGCGGAAGAGGTGAATGATGTTGGGGGTGTGCTACTAATATTTTTTAGAGAGATCCTCTTTGTATATTTTTGAATTGTTGTTATAGAGAAAAATTTATAAGTGTAACAATTATGTTACGGGTAAAACCCTAATATTGGGTAATATAGAATTACCCAGGTTTGTTTGGGTCTGTTTATTTTTGTTTTAAACATAAACATACCTGAACTAGCCTAACCAAACCTTAACAATAAACTTAAAATCCTAAACATCCCTGAAAAAAATTATTAGACTGAATAAACATAACATTAGAGAATTATGGCAATTTCCAAATAGTGACTGATTTTATTACTGATCGGCCTTATTTAATTACTGACAGTCACTATCTCTTATGAATAAAAAGAATTATGGCACAGCATGTTAAATTGGCACTATTTTGACCATTTTTTCGCGTCAGTATGACATTTGATTTAGATTTGCGCATGTCTCGAAAAATAGTGGAACAAATACTGCCTTTCACTATCCAATCACAAATAAGGATGATCCTTATTTTATTAGGGAATTATTGAAGAGTATAAAATGCCAGGCACTAATAGCGCTAGGCAATATTTTGACGTTTTTGAGACGTGCGCGTTGTGGCAGTACTATTTATTTTTAGTGCCGCCACTAATAAAGTTTGTGCCTTCCACTATTTGTGGAAAATAAAAACAGGCCATAAACAGGCACAGTCTCGTCCCTATGTCTCTTCGTCTCTTCTTTTTTTTTAAGTTGACGTTCGTCAAGGCTTATTCAAATGTTAACCTCACTTTTTTATTAATTTACATTTATAGGTTTGTTCCGTTTGTTCAGAATCAGCTCTGAATTGAACTGCGCTTGCGCATTGGTTTCGATATGAACAACCACAAATGCGCAAGCACAGTTCAATTCAGAACTGATTTTGAACGAAGTCCGACCTAACTCTTCAATTTCCAGTGACAGGTTACTGGCTTCTTAGCGGTATTTGGTGTTCGCTTCAATGACCGCGGGGCCTCGCCTTTTATCATTCTCGTCCCTCAAAATGTGGTCTAGAATGACGTATCCCACATCGAGTCATCAACATTCCCATCCCCGTTCCGTAATAATACGATCTCCAATATCCTCCATTCTAAAATATAGATGAAATAACAAAACAAATTCAACAAAAATCTATTCAGAAGAACAGCAAACACGTATTTACACTTTGCAATTTTAGGTTAGGAATATGAAAATAGAACATGACATGTATCTCTGATGACATGCCACTGCCAAAGTTCACCACTGTCGACTTAACGTGTCGTTCAATAATGGGGACATTCACCATATTTGAATTTCATTGCTTTATTATTTTTAATCAGTTGTTTTAACCAATATAAAAATACCCTTGCTTCCAGTTGGGTTTAAAATGTCCTAATTTTGTTTAAAATAATTTTCAAAAATGCTGTTTTCATCCCACATATTTAAACGTGCTGGAATGGCGCCATTGTATGACGTATATACACTTTCCGACCAATAAGAATCGTTCACAATAGCTCTGGCGAACATCTTATATGCTTTCTTTGTCTAAGCTCTGAAGAGTGACAATGATGAAACTCCTGATTCGTTATTTGCATCTTGTTCGTTTAACGCTGGTCAACATAACCTGTTGACAGTTAGACAGTGCAACGTTGCCAAGCTGAGTGTCGTGATTCCTTAATACTAACATGACGTGGCATAAATGCTTTTTAAACGCTAGAAAAACTGTTGTTCTGCAACTAAACCTACTAACAATTAAAAAATTACATTAATTTTATAACTGTAGTCCAAAATATACAACAAAAAACTATATAATGCAAGGATAAAAACGAGGTTTCTAGAGGCAATCTTGGAAATCAACAATGACAACGACAATTTGACAACGTACTTATTTGCAGTATATTTTTGCTAGTTGTAGGGATTGACGTCATATTCGGCGGGTTTTCTGCGGCGTTTGAAATGCTGCTGAATTTATATTTTTTATTAAAAATTAACGACAACTGAAATGTTCCCCAAAATAGTGCTATTAGACTTAGTTTGTGTTCTAGAATTAGAAAAAATAAATAAAAAAGAAACACTAAATATCCCCATTCCTTTTGTGAGCCAAAATAGCGCCCGCCACAGTCAATTTTGGGTCGACACTAAAGCGGCACAGTCAACTGAGGCCGTATTTCAATAATTCTCTATTACTGACCGCCACTATTTTTAGTCATGAATGCGCATGCGTAGGTGTCAATAATGTCAAAATAAGAACGTTTATATTAGTGACCGTCGCTATTTGAAAGTGCCATAATTCTCTATTATCTAGGTATTCGGGGTTTACCCGTTGTGACAAAATTTGAGATGTTACGAAGAATAAACATTTTGGTAGCGTGAATAATTCTGTCACATCTTAGTTTGCGTGGGTACCATAATTATGCTGTAATTAAATTTATTCTGAAAAGGGATACCAAATTTTCTGAACCGGAGGCAATCCAAACAAAACCTTATTTCTCTTCTTCTTCGGTTTTGGTTAGTGCAAAGGGTTATAAATTCAAGAAGACTTACCTTTTTATTGCCAATGTTGCTTCTCTTCTCAAATGCACAAACCGGCACGAAAGAACTTTTTACGCGTCCACCAGTGTTTTAGAGGGAATTTTAAAACCAGAAAAGAAAAGAGTAATTTTGAAAGATTAAACTAATTTATTTATAAGCGAAAAGAAAAGTCAGTGTTAATTAGTTAGTGATAATAAAAAAAAAGGTTAAGTAAAATATAAAAAAAGAACAAAAAAAAAATTACCTTATTTAAGACCATAATTAATTTTTAACTGAAGAAAAATTAAAGACAATTGAAAGCAAAGAGTAATTTCCCAATTAAAAGGTTTAGTTCCCAAATCTGATTCTTTATTGGAATTGAAATTAAAAAAAATAACAACTATCACCTCTTTGGAGAACTTCTACTAAAACACAGGGCGGCAGAACTAGATGATGAGAAACGGATCGAGAACTCGTTGAAACTTTGCGACTTAAATTTCCAGCGATCACTCGTAGTAAAAACTAGTTGCGAATTAGCGATAACTGAAGTTATGTGGCCTCTACATGTGCTTAAATAGGCGAAAGGAATTACCCTCTGGGTACCACTTTAGAAGCCCATTGGCTCCCCTCCGTACCCGGCTTGCTAGAATCGAGGAT